TAATTCCCTTTCATTTCAATTCTTCCAAATACTAATTCCCTTTCATTCCAATTCTTCCAAATACTAATTCCCTTTCATCATCAGGTCATCCCACTATTAGGGGGATGTGATCTCCAAAACCTCCAATCTCAGACCTTGTTGACCTTGTTGACCTTCTAGGGGGGGGGGGGCCCCGTTGATTAATCCGACGTCTGCATTAAGCTCTATGGGGTGAAGCATTCACCAACAACTTTGAAGATCCCACGGATCAACCAAATTTCTCGCTATGAAGCGAAGTTCCACTCAGAATCCCAACACATGCCCAGGGTGCGCATCCCATCTAAGCCGATCTGGTCGGTGCTTTTTTTGTTGAAACCAACCCCGGCTTCGAGTGCCACTGCCACCGGGCCACAGCGTTCACTGCCAAAACCGCAGGTTTGTCCTTTGAGCCAAAAAGGACCGCGGATGGACCACCTCCGCTGCTTGAAACACCTGACATTGCCAAACCTGATTGATCTGACCCGTGGCCAACGAGCTGCGAAAGCACTATTTGGTGTGACACGTTTCAGGAAATGAGCAACAGGGGCCAAGAAGAAGGAAGCACCAGAAGTTCTCAAAGGGTGCCTCTTGGAGGCTAGAGGGTACCCCTAGGGGCATTGGGACTCAAATGCCACTGCTAACTCCTGGCAATTGATTGCCACTGCCAGCAGCACAACGTAGCACCATCTCTGCCAGGACTCCAGGACTTAGTCCAGCCATGTTGGCCCTCACATTTCGGTCCATAACAACAAAAATGACTGTATTTAGGCACACTAAAAATGCGAGTTCGCCGAACATTCACCCAGCGAACCGTTAAGAATTTGGCCATGTCAACGTTCACCAGCCTGATCCATCATCACGAGGTGACCCATATGTACCGGGCTGAAGGCACCAGGAAAGACCAGCTGGCCGTCGCGGAGTCTTCGCTGGGCTGTTGGGCAAAACATCAAACATGATGATTCCTCTATGATATGACACCGAGTATTCTATGTCTATATGAGACTTCGTTCACTTGAGACTTCGTTCACCTTCTTGGCCAAAGCGAGGCATCCATCCGTCTTGGACACCACCCCCAATCTCCTCTCCCTAAGCCAAGATAGCCAAGCGAGCCGGTGAAGACCACAGCCAAGTTTCGGCCGCTCCTCCGGCTGAGAGCCTCCTCATAGGCCTCGTCCAAGTGTGTGGACGGTGGACGGCGATCTCTTCAGCACGAGGGACGAGGTTTGACCACTTGGAAAGAAAGGCGCACATATAGACTTTACGTTTTGACATCAAGTACTAATATATTGTTATATCATATCACAACATATCACAACTAATATCATATGTTTTTAAGTAAACGCGAGACATCTTCTTTTCACGTTCTGCCGAAATCTAGTATCGGTTCATCCTGAAATGGGAGACCCCCCCGCATTTGACGGTACTCCTCACTTCAACCCTCTAACTTTAGCCTCTAGAGTCCAGAGTGGTCTCCCTATTTCAAGCAAACTCGACGGGTTGACGTGCTGCCACGTACCCTGTGGTGAATGTGGTGCCACGTAGCTGTTGACCAAAGCCGAAATCGTCGGCCATCGCGCTGCAAGCACCGCTTCTTCAAAAAGAGCGGTGCCGGCAAAGTCTAAGACCAGGAGGACCCCGGGTTCCCCAACGCTGCTAGGAATTGATTTTCTTGGAACACACATCTACTGTAGAAATTGATTTTACAAGATGAACACATCAACAAGCGTGTGGTGGTGACTTTAACTCGTGGCCACCCTCTGGTTGATTGGCTACGGGGCACAAAGACATGGTGAAACGGACATATTAATTGCTGGTGAAACAGCCGCGCCTGCTTGTGTCACTCAGAATCGGTTTGTCTCAAGTAGCCTGAAGGCTTACCCACTGTACTGCTCCGTGGCCCGTTTTGGGGCCGGTCCTCGTTGGGGTGGTCTCGCATCAGGTGCGCACGCGCATCGCAGGCCAACCACTTGTTGACAACAATGTGGAAGATCACGCCTGCAAGTGCCAAGCCCAACGCGCACCATCCCCATGGGATGATGACCAAATTCATCACATCGCCAGCCAGTCCGCCTTGATCGATGGGTAGATCAATTTGGCCGGTGATCTCGAAGCTTCTGAAACAGAACTTGTCTGCCACAGAGTAGTCTGCGATGAAGACAAAACTGGAAGTCAACATGCACATGGATGAGAGCAACACTAGAACTCGCTGAAATCGCTTCATCTCTCCCCACTGCGACTTCTGGAGCAAAGCCGCGACATAGTCTTTCTCCTTCTCCGTCAGCGCCGCAACGGCTGCATGCTCCTGACGTGGCTCTGCAAGCTTCTCACCATCTTCATCAACCACCTTCATAATGCGGTAGGTAAAGTAGAACATGGCCAATGCTTGCACCACTGCTGCAGCCAAGGTCACCCCACTTGAGACGATGCTCATAACGCCACTTGAAGACTCATCCGAGTAGGTCAGCAGCGCACCAACCAGAACTTGAGGCACAATGCTGACTCCAATCACTGGCAGAGTTCCCAGCAACATCCGTGGGATGTTCAAGCGCAAAATGCCACAAAGAACACTGGTCGGCCAGTCAGGTCCTGCAACAAGGATGGACACTTTGTCCATCTTCATGCCGCGCTGCTTGAGGATTTGCTCCATGGCCCTTGTTGGCACTTTGTCCACACCGACGAACTGCTGGACCTTCACAAACTTGCCCATGCCATAGCCCATAGAGTATTGGAGCGTGCATGCAATCATCTTGGCCACAGAGGAGACGAGCGCTCCGGCCACGATGCCCCACCCGAAGCCAATGACGCCATCAGGACCGGCGACTTGAGATTGAGCACCCAAAACGACTCCTGCAAAGAGGTAGACTGCACTCCCTGGGACAATTGGGCAAAGGAACATTGCCAAACCAACTCCCAGAACCATCAAGCTCAACACGATAAAGGTCAAGTTTGCAGCAGCCAGAGTTTGGTTCAGCCATGCAAAGAACACATAAGTCACCTTCATTCCCAAAAGCAACGCCACACCCATCATTCCCAACAAGTTCACCTTGAAGAAGATGCTGCTCCAAGCCCATGTGTGCATCTCATCGATGATGCGTTGCCCTTCTTTTGTGAATTTGCCGTCTTCTGTTGGTAAACCTGTGCACTTCCGAACCTTTTGCCGTACTGCGTCCAAAAGAAGCATTACAGGGATGAACAAGTTCAAGCCAAAAACCATCACTGCTTTCATCCAGTCAGACTTGAGGATTTTCATCAGGTTTTGGGCCAAGCGATCCTTCTGTGTCACACTGTTCAAGCGTTGAAAGCCAAACTCCAAGAGCATAAACCCGACTATTGAAGCAACTGATGCAGCTCCCAAAGCTACAAGGCCAGAGCTAATGGTCACATTGGCACCCGACACATACTGGGCACTGTACATCACAGTGAGCATCATGACGATAAGAGCTGTGGACTTCTTGAGAGCACTCTTGACTCGCTGTGCTTCGGCTTCGTCATATTCAAGACCCTGCGCTGCTTGAGCAAAGACCCAGCTCACTAGAGCTACAATGACATTCCCAATTCCAATGGCACAGGGCCCTGCCCATTGGAGAAACCACACCGTCTCTGCACTTTTGCAAGCTGAGAGAACAGCAGCCTGAGCGTCAGTGTCTAGGAACGACACATCTTTCTCCTCGCTGCAATGGGCTGTGTAGTTTAAAGCCATGCTGCTGTTGTCGTAGAAGTACTCGTACACTTCTTCATTCTGGCTTGCAAGCCATTTCCGTGTCTCCAGGCTCCAAAACCTGTCAAACATAGCTTGCCAGCCGACCCAGCAAGCAAAGGCGACTAACGTAGCAAGAACAAAGCTCACTGCCACACTATCGAAAAAACGCTGTCCAGGGATCCCATCGTCACCCCCTTTGAAGCATCGCAAACGGAGACCTGCGACCAGAATGATCGCAAAAGCAAAGCACACCAAGCTGCTGAGCCAGGGATATCCAATATACTTCAAGGATGAAGTTGCTAGAAAGCCACCTGCGAGCAGAAAGGCAAACAAAGCTTGCACAGCCAGATTCCTCCGATGGACATCGACGATGAAAGCAGCAGCCAATGCCAAGGCACAGGCAACAGCCGCCACATTTCCAAGGAGGTCAACCTGAGCGGTTTGCCATAGTCTTATTAAAATCCATTCTGGCTGGAGGCCTTATGCAAACCTACGTGTTCCTTTGTTTTGGAGATATGGCGATGCTTCCGTGCAGCATGCTTGCCTTTAGTTACACTTGCGGCAGAGGTAACCCTATTGGCAGCTGCCATGAAGCAAGCGTGCAGCACTATGTTTGCTGCACATCCTTACGGCAAACCTTGCAAAACTTGTGCCAACAACTGGCAGAATTCTTTATGACTGATTTGTTCCCAACCCTTTAATTACAAAAGAATCTATATATACAGTATATAGAGAGATTCTTTTTCACACAGCTGCCAAGCCTGGCTATCCGCCGCAAAGCTGGCAATGTTGGCAGCGAATCCCATGCTCGAAAACAAGCCAAATGCCAGGGCTTCTGGGAGAAGGATCAGCAGTAGTGCTGACAATACAAGCTGCCATGATGGTGTTGCATCAACCTCATGGCAAATAGACATCGACACTCGAACTCTGAGAACTTCTTCTCAGCCGAACTCCACCTCCAGCTACGCTTCAATCCTTCCTTTGAAGGCGCCCATAGGCCAGCGGTGCTGAAGGATGTTTTTTGTACGGTGGAATGAATCTAGTGTATTTGACGGTTTCTCCACTATTGACTGACTCTTGCTTCAGTTTGACGAGCTGTAGCCCCAATGGCGTCATCAGAAAATGCTTCTGAGCCAGAAACTGCAGCTTCTCAGTACGCAGCAGCTGACATTGCAGCTGTCAAAGCTGCTTTGTTTCTGCCAAACTAGCTGATGAGTCTTCTATTTCTGTCATCAATTGACACAATGAATGATGATTATAATTGATATAGAGATTGACATGTTTGTTTGGCCAAACAGCTTTTTCACTGGTTTTCTTTTAAGAAACACACCGGAAATGCCGGTCCCGGTGGCCTGGCGGAACTCCTCCAAGGGCCATTCCTCGGTTTCAGAGTCGCCAGAAGCGGCGGCGGGGCGGGGCGTCGGTGGTCCACGCAGCCCCGATTGGGCGTCTTGGAACGACATGGTGAATGACACATGAAGTAACAAACAGTAATGTAATGTAGAAACATGTAGAAACACAAAAGCAAGGATGAAACAAGGATGAACAACATGTAGGATGTGGAAAACATGAACAAATATCATCACGGACTTCACTTTGACTTGGTTCCAGCGCACGGAAGCACAACACAGCTCTTTTAGGATCTGGCGGCGGGTTTTCCTGGGAACAAGAGTCTTTGTGAGCTCAACTTGCGACGTTCGCCAACACCATCGAGAAAAGCTCTATACTTTGGATACTCCATCTTCAACCGGCAACAAACATGTCATGATGCTACTGCCTATAGCTGCTACATCTGCAATCCATCGTCGTTCATCCATCCACTCCTCAATGAAAACAAACGATCTGCGCCCTTCCCGCCTGCAGTTGTCATGTTTCTTCCATCCACAGGTCCGCACAGGGAGTTTCTGAGCCAGGCCATGAAAGCGCGAGTGCAAGGCGTGTCCAAGAAGGTCTCCATTCATTTTGACATTCATTCTCGCTCGACCGTAGCTTTCGAAATGCGCTAAGCGGCGCGTCGGTCTCGGTTCAAGAGCGCCCTCTGATTGAGTTTCGGAGGACGCTCTGTGCTTAATTTGCCCACCACGTCGTGCGTGTAGCAGTGTAGCAGTGTAGCGGTAGCAACCAACGAATGGGAGAACCTCCGGGCCCGATTCTAATCTATTTAGGGAGATCCACTTTCAATGCACCAGCATGGATCAGCCGGGTATCAATCGAAGCACAAGCAATTTAATTTGGGCTCTTTTCCGCTCTTTCTGCGCTGTCATTGGCCACGTGGCTGCTTTAAGCCGTTCGGGCGAGCACTGGGCTGTCTCCCCTCGTGTGCAGGAAGATCCCATGCTGTCCAAATGCAAATACTGCGTTTAATGAAAGGGTTCGAAGTTCGCGAATCTGTATCATTGCTCTTGGCGGCACCAAACGCATCTGTTGATATCTGTTGATGATGATGATGATGATGATGATGATGATGATGGATCATGATCATTTTGTGATTCTTATTGCGATCACCAAGAGGACCGATTCCAACTTCCAACCAGGGCGATCATATCTACTTCGGTGACGCGACACTGTCTGACGCCACATCTTTTGGTGACAAGGCATCGAACAGCTCAATGGGACTCAGTCGGGGCTTCAGCCTGGTCAAACGACCAAACCGAGACAGCTCGGCTTTGACGACAACATCAAAGTACCAAGCGACATGGAAAAAACAAGACCTTGACTTGAATTGAACCACGTACTGTTTAAAGTGCCAAGACAAAAAAACAAACACATGTGTCATTCTTGTGTACTATACTTAAGTGTTCAAGAAGCATTTGACATGCATGTCCGCGAGGAAACTGGAAATAAACAACGAAAAGGACATGATGATGCCAATTACAGCAAGTAATGTAACATGGCTATTTCACAAGAAGCAAAATACTACAAAGGATCTAGTCTAACTGAAGCCGTACCCCTCACAGAGCTCAAGCCTGACAAATCCTCACCCAACCCCATCCGCCATCATCCACCCAGGGCTCTGAGAGTACCCAGCCTCTCAGAGCTTCACAATACTGGTGAAGAAGGCTTCAGGTGGCTCTGCTGGAGGTTCCTTGATGGCCCTGGCAGCGGAATTCGCGCGAGTTTCGGACCGCAAAGAAGGAGACTGCAAACCTGCTGATCAATACAGCTCAAGTGCCCCAAACATGTCCTCTCTGACAAATTGCAGCCTGTCTGAATACATCTGAATACTCTCAACTTTCACACCAATTCTGTGGCACGTATCTCCCACGTCTACCCAGCTCAGTCAATCGTTTCTTGGCGTTGCAGAACACCCTGTTTAAATGCGCTCGCCTTTGCATGCGTTCGCGTTGTTTTTGTAATTTCCTCCTTGTGGTTTGTTCCTCAGCAGTTTGTTTGCCGGATATTGAAGTAGCAAGCAACAATGAGGAAGTATATAGGCATAGAAAAATTGAAATGCCACGTGATGGCAAGTTAAGTTGTATGGAACCTCTTTGTTGATGGCAAATTAAAATGCTTCTGAAAGAAACGACTCTGGGTTTCACCAAGGTGACATGGGCTTTCCTCTACCAAAGTAAGTCTGCCACAAGCATATTCTTCGCAAAGAGGTCCTGCCGAAAGTCTGCTTGCGGCGAGGTGAACTACTGGTGTCGCCTGATAGCCTGTCTGAGGATTTAAGTCCGTTGTGGCCCAACAAAATGTCCTCTTTCATCCTCCTTCACTCAAAAACGCCGAAGTCCAACCGACAAAGGCGAAACAAGCCGCATGCCTTGTCGGGGGTCGCCCTTGGGGGGTCTTTGGATCTGGTCCCCTGCAGATGTGACAGATCTTCCTTTCACTCCTTACAGTTTCTTAAAGCCTCACCCTTTTCACCCTTTTCCCAAAACCGCACCAACCACTTTTGAAAGCCTCGCACCGGCCCCAAAAAGGTCTTTTTTCCTTCGCCCAAAACCGCACGAACCCAGCCATCCTCCCCAGCCACGAGTGGACCCGCTCCTCCAAGGGCGGCAGCTGGGGCTCCGGAAGAACCCACTTCTCCCCCTCCAAGGCGCGATTCGCCCACTCCGGCGAAGCGAAGTCGGGATCCGGAGGTCGCTCCGCCTGTCGAAGGGTCGTGGAGTGGACCGACCGGTGAAAAAGAAGCGAGTTTTGGCCGGGAGCTTATGTGTTTAAAGGCTAAATGTGACATAAGATGACATAAGTAGATTGTTGCTCTCTGTGAACTATACTTACTCACTTCCACATGCCTTGCACCTTTTTTAAGGAAGAGACACCAAGTTTGGCCCCAGCCAGGCTATCCAATCGTCAAATGATCAAGCGCTGACGATCGCCCAATCGGCCTGGACAGATCTCGAAGCTTGCTGTGGTGAGGACCTCAATTTTCACGAAATGGGAGCTGAGCATTGACAGCATGGACAGACCATTTCAATTACTCACTCGTCGTCACACACCTGGTCTTTAGCGAACTAGCTTCACTCGAGAGATCAGGCATCACGCGGGGGAAAAAAAAGAAACAGAGCAACACAGCTCAGGATCTGTTCAAGAACAAGCGCAAAACAACAGAAAACAATAAGGGGTATTCTGTGCTAGGAGATGCTAAGAGACACCTTCTACATACCACCAATCATAGGCCATAGGCATGCTGTTCATGCTGTTCGAGGGTCCAACTGGCGAGAGTCATTTGGCCTGGGCTTTCATGGCCCGAAGTCTTCGTTGACATCGAACGACCGAAGTCTCCGATCGAATCCATTGATGCTCCACACACACACACACTATTGGACCCTTACTATTGGAGCATTGAAAAGTAGGACGCCAAAAAGGTTGCAAAAGCAACAACATGTCACAGTAGGACGTTGAAGCAGCATGTCTGAAAAGCATCAACAAGACGTGATTTACTCGAGTCAGATTCCATCCACAGCCAAGGCCAGCACAGGCCCCTCTCAACGATTCCGGATGCAATTCCCTTCTGTTTGGAGACATGTCAATTAGGAATTACTTAATCACTTGGACTATCACTTGGCTATATTAAAGAAACACTCCCAGGAACAAGGACCTTTCAACCCAAACCCAGCGGATCAAGGGTCTCCCAATTCTCATGCACACCCAAAGTGTTCTTTTTGCATCCTTTTGTCTTTTTCATGTGTTCTCACAGGTTCACGCCTCCGGAGCAAAGGGCGGCCCTGCTGGTGAGGAGTCGACTCCTGCGATCCGGTGGAGGGAGGGGCACCTCTGCGAGTATGACTGTCCTCAATAGAATAGATCCAAAAAACAATGAGTGCTTTAACTGTTTCAACTATAATGCTAGTTACTGTGATAATTGCAAATATAATCTATTTTTGCCTAAGTGTGGGAACTGAGAGATTGGATGGCATCTGGTGGCTTGTTGACACCAAACAAAGGACTTCAGCCCTACTGGAACTTTGAAGCATGTCCAAGCAAGAGCACCAGGCCTTGTTGTGGTTTGAATTTTAAGTGTGGCTTTTCGTGTTATAATGAACTATACAGGAAGGTGTTCGGGAACAACCAAAGCATGAAACCCGCAATCAATTTCACTCTGAACTTCACTCATGACTCATCCAACCAAAAAAGGCCTAAACGGATCGCGTGCTACAAAAGGCTTCGTTCCTTTTGAACCAAAAGCAGGCTGCGTCGTCCTTCATCGGTTGCAAGTCCTGGGAACCCAACCGCTCCACCCCGTCTCCTGGGAGGGCGAATACTCTGGGGACATCGGAGAGTTCGCCCTGGCCGCAACGGGCTTCACGCGCGGGTGCTTGCGGGGCCGAGTCGCCGCGACCATGCAGAGGTCAGAAAGGTGTTCCTCGTTCCACTTCCAAAACAGTAGCCATAAATGTTCAAGCCGTTGTGCAATTACAATACTAGATATCGATATCGGAACAGAAGAGGTGGCAACGCTTCAAAT